TATCGTTTATTTGAAATTTATATTTCATATAAATTTAAAATGTTCTTGTAGGTTTTCATTATTCTAAATAAAATTGAATAAAAATAAATAAATTTATTTATTTATTTTAAATAAACTTACTGTTGGTCAAACTGTATGTATATTATATGATTTATACGATGATTGATAACACCACTATTTAAATTTATCAGCATTAGTATGATTATTTATATATGAATATTTATTTCGTTTATCTATTCTATTCATGACTAAATCATTATTATACATAATTTAAATTTTAAAGTAGATTCCTACAAAATTATACTAATATTTACTTTATATGAGTAGGTTAATACAAAATATATGACAATAAATTTAGGTAGCTATTTTTTATATATTAAACTAAACCTTTTTAGCTCATAAATAATTATRACAATATTATATATTATATTCAACACAGTATAAAATTTAAGTAGAATAACGAAAAAACCGTATAGATATTATAAGGGTCTACTTTTCCACATATTCAATTAATTTTGTTATTATTACGAAAGTTTTATAAATGCATTTTCATTTGAAAATATTTTAAATTAAAATAACGAAGAAGCTTWAAYATTTTAATATTTTTCTTCCACAATGAATTTTTTAGAATTAACATGTAGGTATAAGTTTTTTCGTATTTTATACTCACATAGTCACATAAACATATATTATAATGATCATGTATTTATTTATAAAAACTTTCAAATTTTGAAACTTTGGCAATAAATTTTTGTTTTGTTGTAGTAAATAGTTCTAAAACAATAATTATGAATTAATATTATTAAAAACAACGTTTCTTGTTGTATATGTATAAAACTTTTTTTTAGTTTATTAATATAATTGTTTCAATATACTAGGTATTTTTATAATGCTTTTACAATGTTTTTATAATATTATAAAGTTAATTAATTAAGGTTAACAAATAAGTTTATGGATACATTTTAGCTTAATTATGAGTCTGGGTAGTCCTCTTCTTAAGTTTCAACTGCTTCAAGTAAAATATCTTGTGGTAGCCGTGGCTTTAGTCTGCGGTTTTTGGTTCTTTCCCCAATGTACAAGTGAAGAAGTATTGTTTTT